TGAACCATCAGAACTACCATAATATTAGTACCCAGAATATGGTATTTTGACCAATTTTACATTTAATTTTAACAAATTTCTAATTATAAACAGTCCAAAACAAGCACTATATATAAGCATTCCAGCCACTAAAGCAACATTTCCTCTACCCATTAATAAAATCCACAGCCCTCGCCTATATATCACTTGCCTTCCATTTTGAGTTCATCACACAAAATAAATCGATGTTCTTTTTTCCCTATTTCTCAGCTAATAAACCATAACCAAGAATACTTGGTTATGGATACTGCCATCCTGATTAGGAATTTTCTGTACACTGATGTTTCCAACTCATCCAACTAAACATATGCTTAACAACACCCTTATTGTTAAACATAATGAGGGAAAATTCCTGGGTCTGCACCTTGATAACAACCTGAAATTCAACACCCATATCCAACACATAACAAAAAAAGGTTTTAAAACAGTTGGCATCCTCAAAGATACGTTGCTATGTAGCACAAACAGCACTACTTACACTATACTATTCACTGATCTATCCATACCTCACCTATGCTATTTGTGCCTGGGGTTCCATAACAAAAATCCATCTAAAACCAATAGTAACACAATAAAAAGCTGCAGTGCAAATGATCACATAATCCAATGCTAGACAACAACCCCCCCCCCCCACACTTCAAAGACCTAAACCTACTCGCTATACAAAACATTCACTTGTACTATTGTGCAACCTACATATACAGAACAATCAATTCTAATATAAAGCCCAACCTGAAATGCTTTCTTGACAGTTGCAATAGGACTCTCAGACAAAACACTAGGCACAAAAACCTCTATGACATTCCCCGTGTCAGGCTAAATCTTTTCAAAATTTTCTCGTCAACATATTCAATATATATTTACTGTCAATATCTGTATTTATCTAAAATGGTAATCACTCCATTGTGTCCGCCCTAAGGTTAATAATCAAAACTGTATGTCTTCTCTGCAAGACTTATTAAAGCCATATAGCACGACCTAATAGAATGCTAAATTATCTGGTATTCATTGTAACTCATCTAATGACCATATGTACTGTTATTGCTTTATTAATCATAAGTAAATTTTAAGTTTGCCTGAAATGCTCTGCAAATAAAGGGGCATTTGGCATGTACACCCAACTATTACATTTTCTTTGTACAAATATGTATCATGCCAAAATAAAATTATTATTTTTTTTTCCTTTTTTCAACAAGTTGGCCATCTTCCACCGAGGCAGGTGACCCAATAAGAAAGAAAATCCCCAAAAAGAAAATACTTTCATTATCATTCAACACTTTCACTTCACTCACGACATAATCACTGTCTTGCAGAGGTGCCCAGATACAACAGTTTAGAAGCATATATGTTTAAAGATTTATAACATACCCCTCCAAACTGCCAATATCCCAAATCCCTCCTTTAAAGTGCAGGCATTGTACTTTCCATTTCCAGTATTCAAGTCCTGCTATATAAAAACAAGTGGTTTCCCTGAATCCCTTCACTAAATATTACCCTGCTCACACTTCAACAGCTCACAGGTCCCAAAAACCATCCGTCTCCATTCACTCCTATCTAATATGCTCACACATGCTTGCTGGAAGTCCAAGCCCCTCACCCATAAAACATCCCTTACCACCTCCCGCCAACCTTTTCTAGGACGACCCTACCCCGCCTTATTATTATTATTATTATTATTATTATCAAATGTTTTATATTCTTCATGCAGTGGAAAAGAAGAGCAGTTTTGTGAGGTGTAATTTTATGCTGAGTAACTTCCATTACCAAGCAGTTTATCCAGTATATGAGTTTGGGATACATGACAAGCTGATCTGTTTTGGCCACCTTATTTGCATGGGAAAGAAGCTCTCAAGTTACAGCCCTTTAGCCAGAAGTACAGATAACAGCTTTATTGTCATCTTCCTGTTTGTAATGCAAGATACCAATCCTTAGTCCGCAATGAAGCAGCCTTGGAAAAACATCCCTTCCTAATTTAGAGGGTTACTATACTATAAACTGAGAGATCACTACACCACTATCCAGCTTTCATATCTGTGGGGTGGGTAAATACTGGAAAGGCAAGGATAGAAAAATATTACAATACATATACCAGTGAGAGTAAAAGGAAGATGGAAATACAAGGAAAATGGAAGTGGCAAGTAAGAGAGAAGTGAAAGTTTATAAACTAAAGGAGGAGGCAGTTACGGCAAGATATAAACAACTGTTGGAGGAGAGATGGGCTAGTGAGAATACAGGCAATGAGATATATGTATGGGGTAAGTTGAAGAATATAGTGTGTGTTCAGCAGAAGTTTGTGGTTACAGGAAAGTGGGTGCAGGGGGGGGGGGAGGAAGAAGAGCGATTGGTGGAATGATAATGTAAAGAGAGAGTAAGAGAAAAAAAGTTAGCATATAAAGGGGTTTTTACAAAGTAAATGATGAAAGGGAGGGAAAAGTAATGAAGAGAAAAAAAAGGGGCTAAAAGAGGGTGAACAATGTAAAAAGAAGCAAAGGGGAAGTGGCAGATTTATCAACAAATTTTTTTGAAAAGAAGAAAAAGTTTTGGAGTGAGATTAAAAGTTGAGAAACCCAGGGAAGAAGATTGTTATTTAAAAACAAGAGGGGGAGGTTTTTTAAATAAGAGTTAGAGGTTTAAAATGGGGGGTTTTTAAAATTTTTAAAAGTTATAAAGATAGGGCTCGATTTCGTAACGGCAGGAGGAAAAACATTTTATGGATGGGGAAGAACCGTTGTGGGTGGGGAATGCAGGGGGCAGGGAAATAAAGGGGGGGTAAAGCAGCTGGGATGATGGGAAAAAGAAAAAAATGTAAAAAGCAGGTAGAGAATAGTTTTGGAGTTTTTTGTTTTTTAATAAAAAATGAGGGAGGGAAGGTCCCTAGGGACGGCAGAGAGCATGCATATTTTCCTTGAAAAGGGAAAAAGGGGGCAAAAGGAGTGTAAAAATTATGGGGGAATAAGTCGAGTATTTAGGTAATAGGTTGGTAACAGCAACCCCCCGGGGAGGTACAAATTCCTGCCGATTGTAAAATAAAAGCCTTAATTTTTTTTAAACATGAGGGTAGGTTTGCTGGGCCTTTTTTGCTCATAAACATGCAAGATTTAGGTATGTCTTGTACTCTATTTTACCTTAGGTCACACTACACTCATTACAACATATATATACACACCCCTCTGGTTTTCTTCTATTTTTTCTAGTTCTTGTTCTTGTTCTTCCTTTTATCTCCAGGGGGAAGTGGAACAGATTCTTCCTCCGTAAGCCATGCTGTTATAAAGGCGACTAAATCCCGGGAGAAAGGGGGGTTTAACCCCTTATCCCGTAAAAATTACAAAATTTTAAAAGAAAACTTTCGTTTTTTTTGGGGGCCCCCCTGCCTTTGGGGGGAAAACGGCCGGTTTTTTCGAAAAAAAAAAAGGAGTATACTGTTTAAAATGTTGGTAAGTTATTATTGATAGAATTATGGAAAAAAGAGCAAATAGCGTGAAAAAGGAAGCTTTAGAAAATAGGGGGGATTTAGACCAAGTTTTGCAGCAAAACCACAGGTGAAAAATAAGATCAGGGTAAACAGTTTTGTTGCATTTTGGATTGGAAAAAGGGGGGATAGGGGGGGAAAATGGCAGATGTTGCAAATGTTGGAATAAAAGGAGGGTTTTGAAAGCGTGAAAAGTTTTTACAAAGACATTGAGGCTCAGGGTTAAAATGTGGGAAGAGGGGGATTATTTCCCATAAAATAGGTCTTAACAGGGGTGTGTGATGCCACCCTGGGTTTTTAAAATTTTAAATGAGTAATAAGAGAAGTTTTGCCAGGTTTGGAAAAAAAGGTGTGGGTTTTTAAAAAATAAAGAAACTAAACAAAGTGGGGGTTTTCACAGTTGCTCTTTGCTGATGACAATACATTTGGGGGATTCTGAAAGAGTTGCAGAGGTTGGTTTATGAGTTTGGTAGGGTAGGAAAAGAAGTTAAAAGTGAATAAGGAAAAGTAAGGTAACAAAAAAAAAATTCGGTAACGGAAGATTGGGTACAATTTGGGGGAGAGTTGGAGGGGGTGAATGTGTTTTAGATATTTGGGAGTGGATGTGTCAGCAGATGGGGCTATGAAAGATGAGGTGAATCATAAAATTTGACAAGGGGAAAAAGGTGAGTGGTGCACTGAGGAGTCTCTGGAGACAAAGAATTTTATCCATGAAAGCGAAGAGGGGAATGTATGGTGTGAGGTATGGGTTGTGAATGTTGCAACAAGGAAAAGGCTGTAGGCAGTGGAGATCTCATGTCTGAGGGCAATGTGTGGTGTGAATATAATGCAGAGAATCCATAGTTTGGAGATAAGGTGGTGGTGTGGGAATTACCAAAAATATTATCCAGAGGCTGAGAGGGTTATTGAGATGGTTTGGACATGTAGAGGGTGCAACAAAACAGAATGCCTTTGAGAGTATACAAATCTGTAGTGGGAGGAAAGTAGAGTAGGGGTTGGCCTTGGAAAGGTTGGAGGGAGGGAGTAAAGGAGGTTTTGTGTGTGAGGGGCTTGGACTTCCAGCAAGCATGTGTGAGCATGTTAGACAGGAACAAATGGAGACAAATGGTTTTTAGGACTTGACGTGCTGTTGGAGTGTAAGCAAGGTAACATTTACGAAGGGATTCAGGGAAACCGGCAGGCCGGACTTGAGTCGTGGAATGGGAAGTACAGTGTCTGAACTCTGAAGGAGGGTGTTAATGTTGCAGTTTTATAACTGTAGTGTAGGCATGCCTTTGGCAAGACAGTGATGGAGTAAATGATGATGAAAGTTTTTCTTTTTCGGGCTACCCTGCCTTGGTGGGAAACAGCAGATCTGTTAATAAATAATAAAAAAAATATTACCATGTTAAAAAATTGAGAGATGTATAATACAGTGCTCATCTTTATTTACTTGATTTTACTGACTCTTATAAGACACGTAAAATACAATCATTATGAATTCTGTACTCACCATTCATAACACTTGGGAATCGTCTCTTCATAAGCCCACGAATGGGTACCAGGTCTGGCAAAGTGTCTTTTTCAGCAATAAAGTGCTGAATATCCTGAAAGCTTACCTCCCCACTCTGGAAATATTTCACATATAATAATTTAAGGATACAGATATAATCTAAAAGGAACAAATAAAAACGGATTAAATATACAAAGTCCTTCAAGGACAGTTCCTCAATGCCAGCAAGGGGCTCTTGATTCAAGGAAGTGAGCTTGATCTCCCCTTCCCTGGATCAAACTCATTCCCTTAGGTGCTGTATAACCCCCTACAGGTTCATGAGTCCCCCCATGAACCTAATAATAACAAAAATCAAAGAATAACTTTATATAATGTTCAGTAGAGTATATACAAGTACAAAAATAGAAACAAAATAACTTGTATTTAACATTATGGGTTTTATTTAAAAATGCAGGCATTGTACTTTCCACCTCCAGGACATAGTTCCAGCTAATCAGGAAACATGTCCCCAATGTGAGATGAAACACCTGGGGTTCTCACACTCTCCCAGATCAAACACAAGTTAACTCTTCAATATTATTATTCTTTCAACAAACCAGCCGTATCCCACCAAGGTAGGGTGGCCCAAAAAGAAAAAAAAAAAAAGTTTCTCTTTTTAACTTTAGTAATGTATACAGGAAAAGGGGCTACTAGCCTCTTGCTCCCGGGATTTTAGTTGTCTCTTATGACACACATGGCTTACAGAGGAAGAATTCTGTTCCACTGAGATAAGAGGAAATAACTAAGAACAAGAACTAGTAAGAAAATAGAAGAAAACCCACAGGGGTGTGTATATATATGCTTGTACATGCATGTGTAGTGTGACCTAAGTGTAAGCAGAAGTAGCAAGATGTACCTGAAATCTGCATGTTTATGAGACAAAAGAAGACACTAGCAATCCTACCATCACAGGCTTTGGTTCTACATTCACTTGGCAGGATAGTAGTACCTCTCTGGGCAGTTGCTGTTTACCAACCTACTACCTAGGATTATTATTATTATTATTTTTTTTTTTAAACAACTCGGCCGTCTCCCACCGAGGCAGGGTGACCCAAAAAAGAAAGAAAATCCCCAAAAATAAATACTTTCGTCATCATTCAACACTTTCACCTCACTCACATGTAATCACTGTTTTTGCAGAGGTGCTCAGAACACAACAGTTTAGAAGCATATACGTATAAAGATACACAACATATCCCTCCAAACTGCTAATATCCCGAACCCCTCCTTTAGAGTGCAGGCATTGTACTTCCCATTTCCAGGACTCAAGTCCAGCTATATAAAAATAACCGGTTTCCCTGAATCCCTTCACTAAATATTTCCCTGCTCACACTCCAACAGATCGTCAAGTCTCAAATACCATTCGTTTCCATTCACTCCTATCAAACACGCTCACATACGCCTGCTGGAAGTCCAAGCCCCTCGCCCAAAAAACCTCCTTTAACCCCTTCCTTCCAACTTTTCGAGGATGACCCCTACCCCGCCTTCCTTCCCCTACAGATTTAACCACTCTCCATGTCATTAACTTTGATCCACTCTCCTAAATGACCAAACCACCTCAACAACCCCCCTTCAGCCCTCTGACTAATACATTTATTAAACTCCACACCTTCTCAAATTTCCACACTCCGAATTTTCTGCATAATACTTACACCACACATTGCCCTTAGACAGGACATCTCCACTGCCTCCAACTGCATCCTCACTGCTGCATTCACAACCCAAGTTTCACAACCCATATAAAAAGGTTGGTACTCTATACTTTCATACATTCCCTTCTTTGCCTCCATAGATAACATTTTTTGTCTCCACATATACCTCAATGCACCACTCACCTTTTTTCCCTCATCAATTCTATGATTAACCTCATCCTTCATAAATCCACCCGCCGACACGTCAACTCCAAGTATCTGATAACATTTACTTTTTCCATACTCCTCCTCCCCAATTTGATATCCAATTTTTCTTTATCTAAATCATTTGATACCCTCATCACCTTACTCTTTTCTATTTCACTTTCAACTTTCTACCTTTACACACACTCCCAAACTCCGTCCACTAACCTTTTCAAATTTTTTTTTAGAATCTCCCATAAGCACAGTATCATCACAAAAAGCAACTGTGTCGATTCCCATTTTGTATTTGATTCCCCATAATTTAATCCACCCCTCTCCCGAACACCCTAGCATTTACTTCTTTTACAACCCCCATCTATAAATATATTAAACAACCATGGTGACATTACACATCCCTGTATAAGACCTACTTTTAAACCCGGGTGTAGTCTCCCTCTCTTCTACACACCCCAACCTGAGCCTCATTATCCTCATAAAAACTCTTACCACCTATTCCCTATACTTGCAAACATCTGCCACATTGCTCCCCTATCCACTCTATCATACGGCTTTTCTAAATCCATAAATCAATAAAAGCTTCCCTACCTTTATCTAAATGCTATTCATATATATGCTTCAATGCAAACCCTTTATCTACACAAACCCCTACCCACTCTAAAACCTCCTTGCTCATCCGCAATCCTACATTCGTCTTACCTCTAATCTTTTTAATTATTAAACCCCACCGTACACTTTTCCTGGGATACTCAGTAAACTTATTCCCCTATAATTTTTACAATCTCTTTGTCCCCCTTCCCTTTATATAAAGGGACATACATGCTCTCTGCCAATCTCTAGGTACCTTCCCCTCTTTCATGCATTTCTAAACACAAAAACACCAACCACTCCAACACTATATCCCCCCCCCCCCCCCTGCTTTAACATTTCTGTCATGATTGCGTCAGTTCCAGCTGCTTTAACCCCTTTCATTCTATGTAATGCCTCATGCACCTCCCCCATATTCACATCCTGTTCTTCTTCACTCCTAAAAGATGATATCCCTCCCTGGCCAGTGCATGAAATTACCGCCTCCCTTTCTTTGTCGATTTTTAAAAAAGTTCCTCAAAATATTCTCGCCATCTACCCAAAAACCTCCATCTCCCATCTATTAACTCCCCTACTCTGTTTTAACTGACAAATCCATTGTTCCCTATGCTTATTATTATAAAAGGGGAAATTTCTAAGCCCACAGGGGGCATACAGTGCCTGGGGAATAGGAGGCAATCTAAGGAATGGGAGGAAACAGAAAATTCTTTGAATCAAAAGTCCTTCATCACATCAAGAAATCTTTCTTGAAGGGCACTTACAAATTCAAGATAAATCTTTTTGAACACCATTTTAATCTACTTTGGGCACAGAGGTCAATTTCAATTCCTTGAAACAGAAGTCCAACATTTACCTCAAGGAACCTTTCCTGAGGGGACCTGCTGGTGAATGTTTCATTTTTTAGACACAGTCTAGTCATGAAACGGTAAAAAATAAGGAATTTAAATACTGTGTATACTGTATACTGTATCACTCACTCAAGAAGCAATCTTTTGTTACACTGTTAAATATAGTCTTTAAAGTTGCTGCATACATAATTATCAAACATTAAAGTAAATTAAATCACATAATGGGTACGAGCCCCACCTGTTCTGTGATTTGTTTGCAACCATATTATTATGATTTCATGAGTCCAAACAAAAAAAGTGATGTGCTACATTACTCCAACACACCTTTATGAACTTTGTTTATTGTATAATGAAACTCTAAATGATAAATCATAGATTTGAGACAGAATTTCAGTGTAAGAGCAATTGTACAGAATACACAAATAGCCCACATTTAGGACACTGAAACTTATGATGAAGTTTCCTCATAAGTCCTCTGCCCCCTATGTGCAGGTTATTTGTGTACTGTTGCAGTCATGGTATCATGCCTTTTTTTATTCTTTACTGTATGGAATACTGACCTGCACTTGCTTAACAACATCAAGTCCAGCTGCAAGTGTTACTCCCATCTGCCAAGCTTGCTCAATCACTTCTTCATTACGAGATATGGCCAAAACTGTTCTTTGTTGTTCATTTTCAAAATGATATGGCAGTTGAATTACATTGGAAAAATTGTCATATAACGATTCTGCAAAATAGAAGATTAAAATAATTTAAGAATAAGAGCCAGATGAAAAAATATATACTTTTTTTTTTTGGATAAAATACATATCTTTTACACTACCAGACAAATTTACTTTCTTAACTGCTACTATAGTATGCCATAAGAATGATAATACTAAAAAATTTAAAAAAGAATATTTAGGTTATATTCGTGTAAGGGCAAGGAGGAATAACATCTTGTAGGAGTGAGGAAGAGCCAGTTGTGAGTGTGGGGGAAGTTCGTGAGGCAGTAGGTAAAATGAAAGGGGGTAAGGCAGCCGGGATTGATGGGATAAAGATAGAAATGTTAAAAGCAGTGGGGATATAGTTTTGGAGTGGTTGGTGCAATTATTTAATAAATGTATGGAAGAGGGTAAGGTACCTAGGGATTGGCAGAGAGCATGCATAGTTCCTTTGTATAAAGGCAAAGGGGATAAAAGAGAGTGCAAAAATTATAGGGGGGTAAGTCTGTTGAGTGTACCTGGGAAAGTGTATGGTAGAGTTATAATTGAAAGAATTAAGAGTAAGACGGAGAATAGGATAGCAGATGAACAAGGAGGCTTTAGGAAAGGTAGGGGGTGTGTGGACCAGTGTTTACAGTGAAACATATAAGTGAACAGTATTTAGATAAGCTAAAGAGTCTTTGTGGCATTTATGGATTTGGAAAAGGCGTATGACAGGGTGGATAGGGGGCAATGTGGCAGATGTTGCAAGGTGTATGGTGTAGGTTACTGAAAGCAGTGAAGAGTTTTTACGAGGATAAGTGAGGCTCAAGTTAGAGTATGTAGGAAAGAGGGAAATTTTTTCCCAGTAAAAGTAGGCCTTAGACAAGGATGTGTGATGTCACCGTGGTTGTTTAATATATTTATAGATGGGGTTGTAAGAGAAGTAAATGCGAGGGTCTTGGCAAGAGGCGTGGAGTTAAAAGATAAAGAATCACAACACAAAGTGGGAGTTGTCACAGCTGCTCTTTGCTGATGACACTGTGCTCTTGGAGATTCTGAAGAGAAGTTGCAGAGATTGGTGGATGAATTTGGTAGGTGTGCAAAAAAGAAAATTAAAGGTGAATACAGGAAAGAGTAAGGTTATGAGGATAACAAAAAGATTAGGTGATGAAAGATTGAATATCAGATTGGAGGGAGAGAGTATGGAGGGGTGAACGTATTCAGATATTTGGGAGTGACGTGTCAGCGGATGGGTCTATGAAGATGAGGTGAATCATAGAATTGATGAGGGAAAAAGAGGTGAGTGGTGCACTTAGGAGTCTGTGGAGACAAAGAACTTTGTCCTTGGAGGCAAAGAGGGGAATGTATGAGAGTATAGTTTTAACCAACGCTCTTATATGGGTGTGAAGCGTGGGTGATGAATGTTGCAGCGGGGGAAAAGGCTGGAGGCAGTGGAGATGTCATGTCTGAGGGCAATGTGTGTGGTGTGAATATAATGCAGAGAATTCGTAGTTTGGAAGTTAGGAGGAGGTGCGGGATTCCCAAAAACTGTTGTCCAAGGGCTGAGGAAGGGTTGTTGAGGTGGTTCGGACATGTAGAAGAATGGAGCGAAACAGAATGACTTCAAGGTGTATCAGTCTGTAGTGGAAGGAAGGCGGGGTAGGGGCGGCCTAGGAAGGGTTGGAGGGAGGGGGAAAAAGGAGGTTTTGTGTGCGAGGGGCTTGGACTTCCAGCAGGCATGCATGAGCGTGTTTGATAGAGTGAATGGAGACAAATGGTTTTTAATACTTGACTGCTGTTGGAGTGTGAGAAAAAGTAACATTTATAAAGGATTCAGGGAAACCGGCAGGCCGGACTTGAGTCCTGGAGATGGGAAGACAGTGCCTCACTCTGAAGGAGGGGTGTTAATGTTGCAGTTTAAAAACTGTAGTGTAAAGCACCCTTCTGGCAAGAAGTGATGGAGTGAATGATTGGTAAAAGGGTTTCTTTTTCGGGCCACCCTGCCTTGGTGGGAATGGGCCCGGGTGTGATAATAAAAAAAAAAAAAAAAAATAATTCTCAAAAACTACTCATTGCATGACATGATAAAGTGAATGATGATGAATTGTTTCTTTGCCAGGTCATTCTACCTCAGTGGGAAATGACCAACCTTTCCTAGGGGTCGTCCTAGGAAAGGTTGGAGGGAGGGGGTAAAGGAGGTTTTCTGTGCGAGGGGGAAAGAAATTTTCCCGAAAGTGTGTGAGAGCGTGTTTATGTGTGCTTTGGGGTTTGAGCAAAGTAACATTAATAAACGAATTTTATGGAAACGATTAGTCATCTACCACTGAGACAGGGTGGCCCGAAAAGAAACACTTTACCATTATTCACACTATCACTGTCTTGCCCCGAGGCTCACAGATACAACCCGTTCAAAATGTCCCTCCAAATAGCAAATATCCCAAACCCCTCCTTTAGAGTTCAGGGACTGTCAACATGACTCTCAAATCGTAATGACACGATTGCAAACAAACCATACCACGGGTGGGGATAGAACCCACGATCGAAATGTCTCATGTTGACGCTTTGAGGGGACTTTGATTAGAGTTCGTCGTGGCCACGCTAGCTGGAGATTCGTTGTAAAAAACTTGCTTGTGGTCCAGTGGTGCCAAAGCTAACCTTTTCCCATGGTGTAGAAATATACCTAGTTGGACGAATCTTATTGTGGCTAGCTGTTCCAGTGGCTAACGCGACGGTGTGGAGTTTTTGAGACTCTCTGATCACGGGTTCTAGCCCCGCCCGTGGTATGGTTTGCAGGGATTGGGATTTCTCACCTCCAAGAAAAGAGAAAGTTTGTGTTTGTAAGTAATTAACTGGTTTTCCAAAGTGCTGATGTTGTAGTACAAAACATAACTTGGACCGCATGGGTCAGGGCCCTACGGTATAGATTTTAGCAGGCTTATTCTACTGAATGTGTGTTTGAATTTATTTTTGCACATGCTTTTATGCAGACATAATGGGAAGGTATATTATGATTGTTGATCATGGAAAGAAAGCATAAAAATATTATAATGTTTTCTTACAACTTACCTTTTTGTCTGCAGACATATCAAGCTCAATATATGCATTTATAAGTGCATTAGAATGATTAAATTGAGTCTCGTGATGTGTCTCTCTGTGCATAGCTATGGCATCTCTCACACTATACATCTGAAAACAGTATATACAAGACATGAAGCATAAGTCAAGGTAAAGAATGTGAAAATTACGATGCACATTGCAGTAGAAATTATAAACTGATATTTACTGAAAATTTCAGTACATATGAATGAGTCGTCCATTAAAAAAAAAAAGGCAATGCTCAATACAAAATGTTTTAAGAAATTTAAACAATTTTTAAAAGCACAATCATGTAGGTAGTAGGTTGGTAGACAGCAACCACCCAGGGAGGTACTACTGTCCTGCCAAGTGAGTGTAAAACAGAAGCCTGTAATTGTTTTACATGATGGTAGGATTGCTGGTGTCTTTTGTCTGTCTCATAAATATGCAAGATTACAGGTAAGTCTTGCTACTTCTACTTACACTTAGGTCACACTACACATACATGTACAAGCATATATATACACACCCCTCTGGGTTTTCTTCTATTTTCTTTCTAATTCTTGCTGTTTATTTCCTCTTATCTCCATGGGAAGTGGAACAGAATTCTTCTTGTAAGCCATGCGTGTGTAAGAGGCGACAAAATGCCAGGTACAAGGGCTAGAACCTTCTCCTTATATATTACTAAATTTAAAAGGAAACTTCAGTTTTTCTTGGCACCCACCTCAGTGGATACGCTGGTACGTTTAAGAAAAAAGAAGTAGGTTGGTAGACAGCAACCACCCAGGGAGGTACTACTGTCCTGCCAAGTGAGTGTAAAACAGAAGCCTGTAATTGTTTTACATGATGGTAGGATTGCTGGTGTCTTTTTTTTTTGTCTCATGAACATGCAAGGTTTCAGGTACGTCTTGCTACTTCTACTTACACTTAGGTCACACTACACATACATGTACAAGCATATAGTTCTTACTAGTTCTTGTTCTTGTTTATTTCCTCTTACCTCCATGTGGAAGTGGAACAGAATTCTTCCTCCGTAAGCCATGCGTGTCGTAAGAGGCGACTAAAATGCCAGGAGCAAGGGGCTAGTAACCCCTTCTCCTGTATATATTACTAAATGTAAAAGGAGAAACTTTCGTTTTTCTTTTTGGGCCACCCTGCCTCGGTGGGATACGGCCGGTGTGTTGAAAGAAGAAAAAGGAGAAACTTTCATTTTTCCTTTTGGGCCACCCAGCCTCAGTGGGATACGGCCTGTGTGTTGAGAGAAGAAGAGCACAATCTATATTATAGAATTAAAGTAGTGCTTTAAGTGATTTTTTTAGCAGAAATAGTTGTTTACTCAGTTAAATCTTTTAATGAGCAGAATTTAATTTTGGCTTACTGGCAGAAATCTCAACTAGATATACAATAATCTAGGGAGCAAGGGGTTAGTAATCCCTTCTCTTGTATAAATTATTACATGTAAAAGAAAAACTTTTGTTTTTCTTCTTAGGTCACACTGCCTCTGTGGGAGATGGACAGTGCATTGAAAAATATGCAATAATCTATTAATCACCACCAATTACATTCCTAAAAATCTGGTCTTTACCCAAAATAGTGATATGGGATGGAAAAACATAAGGAAGAATAATAGGATTATATTTGTTGCACCTCCAAAAAAGTCCACCAAGTTTTTAAATTTCAAAAATTGTGAAAAGTAATAGGCATTAACATTTTCAGTGTCTTACCCCCCCCCCCAAAAACTGAAACTTTCCACATGTCCAAAACTTGAAAAAAAAAAAATCTTATGAAATGGTAAAATCTTACTGAATTATAAATAAAAACATGAAATTTTATCGAAAACTGATGAAATTACGCTTTTCAAAAATTTTTGCTGTTTCAGCTATTTACACCCCAAATTTTTGCACACTTTAGTCCTATTTTAGGCCAATTACACGTTCCAGTTGACCAATTCTTACTATTTTGATAAAAATTTTTCTATTTTATTGATTGAGCACAAGAAATTGCCCAACCCCTTTCAAGTACCCAATTTCCAAAAAAATATCAAAATATTCCTTTTTCAAAATAGGGTCCAAAACAAATACGGCATTCCGGACCAAAAAAACTTTTCCCTCTTTCATTGCTAAATTTTCAGGTTTTACACAGAATTCCATTTTATTTCTTATTACAAAAAAAAAAAAAAAAAAAAAAAAAAAAAAAAAAAAAAAAAAAAAAAAAAAAAAAAAAAAAAAAAAAAAAAAAAAAAAAAAAAAAAAAAAAGGGCTGTTATCAAAAGAAAAATTGTATAAAAATCAGCGCTTTCGAAACACATATTAGACCCCACCAATTATGTGTAATGGATGTGTGACATGATTTTTACTCTTGAACAGGGGAAAAAAATTGAACATTTCCACTATTTGAGTCTTGAAATAATTTTCAGTCGAAAAAGCAATCAAAATCATCTCTATTTCTGCAAAATCACCATTCTTAAAATTTATACAAGAAACGAAATACAATCAAAAAACCCTAAAAAAATGCCCAAAAAGTTGCTATTTTTAAAACCCAAAAACAAATCAAATTTTTTCCCCATTGTGCACTGCATGGCGTTTTTTTTTTATGGTGAACTTACCACATCAATCCAATTTTCTCATATCAAAGCCCAAATTTACTGCTCACACTTATCTGGTGAGGTGACCAAACAAGTACACGGCATGGGCCCTGAACTCAAAGGCTTTTACAAAGGCACGTCAGCAAAAGGTTATACGTTTAAACCCCGGGAGGTTTAAAAATTTAAAAAAGTACGTAACTAATTTTTCCGAAATGCCAAGTCATTTTCCCCCTTATTAATTATGGGAACCCCCCGTAAGGCTTACATATAAAAAAAAAAAAAAGGGGGAACATCAAATTTTTCAACTATCACATACGTGGACCCCAGGTTTTTCGATGCTATCGCGAAATTGCCTGCAAATATGGTGAGTGGGGGAATTTAAGGCCCAAAGGCTGGTTTTAGAGATTTAAGAACCCGTATGGCCCCCTACCCCAGTGGGAAGGGATGGCGAGGGTGCAGTTCGGACCACAAGCGCTGAAAAAAATGTGCATGAATTCCAGGGGTACATAAGGCTGAAGGACTGAAACCGAAAAAGTGTTCAACGTGATGAAACAGGCCTCTTTTTGGAAGAAAATGCCAAAAAGGACCTTCATTACACAAAGGAAAAAGGCAACCAGGACACAACCATGAAAGACAGGCTACGCTAATGTTCGTGCTAATGCAGTGGGGGTTTCAAAGTGAAGCCATTTCAGTGAACCCTTCTGAAAATCCCAGAGGTTCGAAAAACAAAATTACAAGAGAAATTGTGTGTGTTTTGGGAAAACTAATAGAAGGCATGGGGCACGAGGGAAATTTTCGTTGAGTGGTTCAATGAAGTTTTGGCCCAGTGTGAAGGGTATCTCCGGAAAAGAAAATTTGGGTCTCAATTCCTGTTAGTAATGGACAATGCACCGCTCATCCTCCAAACTTGGGTACCTAATTTTTTGAGGAGTTTGGGTTCATCACAGTAAAATTCTTGCCCCAAAGCCACCCTCTCCTCCAGCCCATGGTTTAGGGCATTGCAAACTTTAAAAAACTCTACACAAAAACAATGTTTTACAGGTGCTTGACTGTGACCACAGACACTCACTTGACCCTAGGGGAATTTTGGAGAGAACACTTCAGCATCCTTCATTGCATAACCCTTATAGGTATGGCTTGGGAGGCAGTGACTACCAGGACTTTGAACTCTGCCTGGAGAAAATTGTGGCCAGATTGTGTCGACAAGAGGGATTTTGAAGGTTTGGGACTGACCCTAATGAGCCTATGTCTGTTGTAAAATCAATTGTGGCACTGAGGAGTTCCATGGGGTTGGATGTGAGTTTGGAGGATGCGGAAGAATTGGTGGAAGACCACAACGAAGAGCTCACCACTGAGGAGCTGCAAGAGCTTCAGCAGGAAGAGCAACACATCGCAGCTCAGAATCTTGCTGCAGAGGAGGAGGAAGAGAGATGGAAGAAGGTGCCTTCTTCAGAAATTAAAGAGATTTTTCCCTATGTAGGGTAAGAGGGAAAGCTTTATGGAAAACCCCAAATAAACCCTAAAAAGGGTTTTGTTGCAAGCCGGGTTGGAACATTACAGTGAAAAAGTTTTGGGCCATTTAAGGGAAGTTTTAAAGAAAACTCAGAAAAAAAAAGACCCCCTCCACAGTTTTTTTGGCGAAAAACAGGACCCATGACCCCAAAAGGGGGTCCTGGGGGCATTAAAAACCAAGAAGAAAACAACCCCAGAAAAGAAATTTGGGGTACCGAAGTGTTCCCTGGAAGGGGTTCCCCTTTCCCAAACTAAAAAACAATCCCCCTCTCTCTTCCCCCTCCAGTCTCCCAAACCCCTAAGAAGAATCTCCAAAAAAAGGTAAGTGTTATCTTTTTAATGTTTCTTTCCTTTTTTTTTCCCTTTGTTTGTAATGAAACTACATTATTTTTAAAGTAAAAATTTTTTTTTTTTTAAAATACTTCTGGGGGGCGGGAATGGTTTAAATAAAAAATTTACTTTTTTCTTATGGGGAAAATTGATTCGAAAAATCGAAATTTCCTTTTTATGAAACCGGTTTCCAGGAACGGTTTAAATTTAAAAAACGGGGGCCCCACTGTATAGTGGGTTTTGCCAGTTTAAGGGTAAGTTTTTGGCTGTCACCAAATTTGGGTATTTTGAGCAGCCCTCGTTAACAAGGTGTTGAGGGGAAAATTTAGGGTGGGAGTTTGACATAATCGTGTCCGCACAAAGACAAGGGGTTTTTCGGGGTGTTTTTGGGATATTTGGGAAAGATCATTGACGTAAATGAGGAAGGAGCGGGGGCCAAGGACACTTCCCGCGGAACTCCAGTACAAGGGGCCCTGTATTAAAGGGGCCCTGTGTTTTTTAATTTGGTGACATACTAAACCTTTGAAAGGAAAGGTTTTAAAAATTTTCCAAGCGCAGGGCCCTTTCTTATACCATAGGCTCTTTTTTGTGGAGTGGGATGCCGGGGTTCTACTTTTCCCAAACTTTTTTTCCCTTTAGGTCAATAAAAAATTCCTAGGGGATTTTTCCTTTATTTTCCAAGCTG